CAGGACAGAACCCAGGAGATAAAGATGATATGGATAAAAGTCAACAAAGGAGTCCAAAAAATTTCNCAGGACAGAACCCAGGAGATAAAGATGATATGGATAAAAGTCAACAAAGGAGTCCAAAAAAAAAAAAAAAATGAAATGAAATCTAAGGCTACATTAAGAGAAGCACAGGTTACAGGGAAAATACCTATTATGTCACTGGACTCCACCCTCCATAACTATAAGAATCATTTGAAGGATCTGAGAATGTTTCACCAAAGGAAAATAATGACAATGATCACAAAAACTAACATGTAAATAACATTCTAAAATGTTCAAAGTATTTTACATTGAAGTACTGCTTCACACTGAATTAAACACGATGATAATAGTTCCATTTTTACAATTTATAATTCAAGAAACTAAAACTCAAAGAGGATAAATAAATAAATAGTAGCTCATGTTTCTATTTCACACTAGATCTCTGTCATCTCAGAATAAGACTTGGTAAGGGCAAGAGAGCTGACTTAACAACAATTTTTGAAGATTTAAGCACTTAAATTAGCTTTATTGTTCATAAACTATCAGTGTGTTCCTACAACTATTAGTCACTAGTAAAGGACACAGTTTGAGTAACATTTACTAATTAAAAGCTGACTCAAAGTAGAAGTTTCCCATCACTAAAAAAAATTTCTAAAAATTTACTGTCAGTGATGCTAGATAAGGCATTTAGTTGGATAGGATTCATTAGTTGGAATTTGTGGTTCGCTTCCCTCTCTGAAGTTTTGTTATTCTAATCCAGATATCAAGGTTAAATACTATAAAAATCATTAGAATTTGTTTAAAAATACTCAAAAACAAAGAAAATCACAACTACAAAATCTAAATTCAGTACCATTTTGAAATGTAAGGTTAGAAGCAAAATCATAATAAAAGAACTAAATTATTTGTTATCTACATGTTATTAAAATAGGTACGGATTAAAACCTAAAACCTTCACAAACCTACCTTTTTCCTGCCTTTAGCTGATTGGCCACATACTGCAGAAGGCCAGCAAGTTCAATTGGGTATTTGAGGAAAACTGCACCACAGAAACAAGCAAGACCTGTGTTATATGAAAATAAAAAGAAACTTAAAATCTTCAGGAAGCACAGTATTAGAAAGAATTCAAAAATATTCGCTCAAAATAAAGTCTGTCATGGATAATGTGATACAGACAATAAAACACTCACTTTGAAGCCAGCTTGAAATGGTTGTATCATCATGTTTCATTCTCTCCTTCTCTGGATTAGCCAGAGCTTCAATAATACAATCTTTTACAAAATTAAGAAAAAAAAACTTATCTTGAAACTTTAGCAAAGGCAGATGGATTACAGTACTTCCCAAAAGAGTAGCATAGTTCTCAGAACAGTTCCCATTATAAACACCTCAAAATAAAAAGAAATATACCAAAAATAAACCAACTTAAATTACAGTTAGAAGGGAACTATCAACAGCACCCTCCCCTTACTAATTTAATAAAACTGCATTTTTAGCTTTGGCAATAATAGTTTCTATTTCAATATCAGAATGTCCTCCTTTTCTAAGTTAAACTATTAAATAACTATTAATGCTTTTGAAAAAAAAATTTTAATAAGGTGTGACTTTTGGATTCATTGAAGATTCTCAATGACCTTTAGGTCAACTTTCTCCTCTTCAGATTTTAGTAGTTCCTCAAATACATTTTTCATTTTATACTAATCCTCATCTAATAATAAAAATTATAATCACAATAAAAGCTAGCATTTACATTGCACTTTCCAGTTTGCAAAGTACTTATCTAATTCTTCCAATAACCCTCTGAATAGATACTATCATTACGTTTAAGAAAGAAACTGAGACAGAGAAAAGTTAAAGGGATTGCTTACTCACAGCTAACATGATTCAAACTTGGTTTTTTCCTGATTCCAAGCTCATCATTTTATCAATCACCCACCATAGAGACCATTTAACCTTAGCACAAGGATGAAGGCTTTTTTTTTTGATTGGCAATATACTGCAAGCAGACATCTCACTGTTTCCCCACTGTTTCATCTGCAATTTCATCATCCCCATAAGATCATCCCCTTCCCCTGGGGTCTTAAAAAGTACCCTCTCTTTCTCTTCCATTGCCCTTCTCTAACCCCTCCCA